CTCACACTGAAAACAAACCCATATTCATACACGGTTAATGCTCTTTGTTACATGTCTCATGGCCAATAAATAGGTGAATCTTGATGCACTCCTTCTGTGTGGCATGAGAAACACTTTCATAACTTAATTTTAGCTATTACCATTTTTTAAATTTATTCCCCTGAACTAATTGATTTGATCAATTGTTGTAACATCTAAGAACTGTCTTTATTACTTTCCACCACTGACTCATCCCTTAGGAAAACCAACTCTTCTGCCTTCGTTACTTTCAATTTAGTGGTGTGTGCGATAGACTTACCTCCACGTGGTGCACCCTGGGCAACGTATACTTATACGGCAAAAAAGTCTATTGATTGGCAGTTGACTTCTGATTTCAAACTACTATGGCTCGACTATTTGTCATATTCGACACCTTCTACAGTACTCATCTTACCTTTTTTGCCTTTGTGCTTGTCTGTCTGTCTCTTTTACAACTGTGAATCACTCTTCTGTTCCCCCTCTCGACTTTTTGTCACTTTGATGTTCCTTCTCCTCTATGAATGCTGAAGTCACCTAAAGGGCTAATGATAACTATCAAAACGCCTGCCATTTGATATAAATAAATAAATCAATAAACTTTCCGTTTAGTGGCTGCGAACCAGGCGTTTTCGGTCCTTAGTACCCGGCTTCAAACATTCTCTGAGGCTGATATCGATCAAGGTCTCCCTAGAACTGTCCAAACTCTGCGTCACCAACGAAATAGTTTTAAATTAAGGATAAATTATTTATTTTTTGAAACACTATTTATATCTCATCCAATTAAGCTCCGTTTCCAAAATATTTTCTCTTGAAAATGTCCAGCTTAAGGTTTTTATCGGTACATAAAGTAAGTTTTTTTCTAATAACCTCGTTCACTAGAATAAGAAAGTGAGAATCCCACTAGACTGGCATTGTACTCTTAAATGCCTTGAAGTTTTATGCAATAATTACATTTTATATTAGTATGTGTGGGGTGTGCGTTAGACTTACCTCATACTCATACGGCAAAAGTCTATTAACCGGCAGTTGACTTCTGACTTTAAACTACCATGGCCCGACTCTATGTCATATTCGGCCCCCTTTCACAGTACTCATCTTACCTTTTCCTTGCCTTTGTGTCTTTCTGTCTCTTTTACATCTGTGAATCATTATTCTGTCCCCTCCCCCCTCTCGGCATTTTACCACCGTGAAGGTCCTCCCCTCTGTGATGTCCAGAGTCAGCTAAAGGGCCAATGATAACTATCAAAACGCCTGCCATTTGAAATAAATAAATACTCATATGTGTATCGATCTCAGCCATTTAAAATTTGAATATAATTTGACTAAACACAAAGGAATGCTAATGACAGAAGTGGACAATAGCTCCCACCCTCTTCCGTTTCTCAATAACACAATATGACAGTTCATGTTAATGTATGTCAAATTTTAGGCGTTGTAATTATAACAACGATAGTTGAAAGGGGAGAGGTCAATGTGGAAGTAGAGGGGGGGGGGAAGATATGATTTAGATGTACGGTTTGAAGAATGACAATGCTTGATGAAGGTAACTAAAGCAGGGGCAAATGTTATAGTCACAGTGATCTTGTGTGCAGTTAGATAGCTATAGAATATATTTTGAAACATTCATCCAAGGAGTGGTGGGAGTCAATACAACATTCAAATTACAGGATGTCGCAAGGAACTCTAAAAACTCTGCACAACAACAAAGTGCCATGGAGATAAACAAATAGAGGTAACGTGGAAGAGCCTATTTAAATTTATGATAACGGATGTTGTGAGAGCGGCGGTAGTTCAGCATGACGCATGGATCGATATTGGTGTTGGTTCCAAGATGGTTGTGCCATGGATTGAGGAACTGGATTCACTGGGAAGTAATGCGAGTCTTGTTGATAGTAGTGCCGTGGAGTGCGTGGTTGCGTCTCCATCGGTGGTAGAGATTGACCGAGAATCGTCGGAACGATTCCTCGATTACGTAGAGCGTTTCGACGCTGTTGTCCGGCACTCATACGAGATTTGGAGTAAATCAGAGCCTCCTCCATGACATCACACTTTCCACGTTCTTGACGAACGGCAAAACGGGTTAGACGACGGCGCCAACTCTCAGACCATGGAAGGATAGTACTCTTTTGATCCAGCAGTAGCTCACTCCTGTCATGGTAAGGAATCTACAAATACAATGTCCAGATCGAAAGAGTTAATAACTTTATCAAATTAGAGCAGACATCGAAAGATGCATCAGTCTTGCATCGGACTATTGTTCATGGCGGGTCAATACTTACACCCGGATATGAAACCCCTATCACTGCAATTATTGACCAAAGGGACACAAAGAAAAAGCTTACATTTTCAATTTCTACTAATTTATTGGCTTTAACTACAAATACTGCTGATCTTTTCAAGTACTTGACCTTTGGAACCCAGTTCGACGAATTTCTAACTTTTAGAGAGTCACTTGTTTATTTAAATTCAAGTTACTAGGGGGTTGAAAATTTATTCCTAGGGTATGCATGATTATTTTAATGAAATTAAAGATTCGAAATGAATTTAATTAGCAAGTGAAGTGCAGCTCTTCAGGAATAAAATGAAATTATCGGCAATAATTAAATTGATAGGCATCTTTTTAATTTTTTTGAGCATTAGTATTTCCAATCATTGTCTACTAACATAATCTCAAAAGAATAAAAGCTCTGAGAAATGATTAATTCCCTTACTGTACCACAGTTTATCCATGTTAGCTTTGTGGAAAAGGTAAAAGCCGCGTGTGTTGTGACGGGCTGAGTTGCGTATCGAAGCCCATATTGAACACTTACAGCACCCTCCTTGGAATATTGAGAGTTTTGTGGGCAATATTTTTCATTCACCACTCCTAAATATAAATATAATATTAAATTTTCTTTTCGTATTCACACTCGACCCTTTTTATCTTGGCCCCTCTACCGGCATTTTGCTTTTTACCGCTTAAACGGGCAATATTTTGGCTTGCATCCGTGGAAACTATTTGTTTCATCGGTTCAAATACCACTTCCGTAGATAATGTTGCTTCTGCATTTAGGACAAGTCAAATTCTCGTAAACTTGAGTATATTGGTAGAATTTTCACGGAGTTTTGTGGTAAATAATTATTCCTAGTGTGGTGTTCTCTCACTGGAACGATGACTTCATGAAAAATCCTTCAGGAGGCAGCTATCTTGTAGCTGGTGTAAGGATTTACCGAGTTCCGTTAAATAAAAATATAAAACATATATTACTTAAATGTTATCAATAGCAATTGAATTACCTCATACGCTTGGGAGATGAATAGATAGGATTGGTCAAGTTTGAAGCGAGGGCAAACGCACATCGCGTTGCCAATTTTCTGTTGTTTCGCAAACGGAACCCAAACAGGGATCATTGGTGCTTGATTGTGGCGCACGTGTGAAGGCAGATAACGCTGCGCTACCCCGCCATTGTTACGCCACATGTCGTGTACCCTCACTCCCAATCTGACCATTTCTCCCCTCACCTCCTGGGATACCACTGTTCCACGGAAAACTGAAATCAGTAAATAAGAACATTTAATTTTGCGTAAAGCGAAAATACTTCCAAATTTTACAATAAACAAGCGTTATTGAAGACGTTTCTTGCTTTATAACATATCATTCTAATTTGCTGGGCTTTTTCAATTTGCATAATACCCATATGTTGTACTTTTAGCGATTAAGAAATTCCCACCTAATTGTACTTATTGGCGCTTTATTCATAGCTCTCTAACTTTTTTTGTTTCTCAAAAGTGCACTTTAAGGCTTGTATTGTGCTTCGGTGGAGGCTTCTCATTTTATAGATAGTTGAGTGTTTAAAACCTGATTCACATTGACATATTGAGCTAAATTAAGTATTTTAGTCATCCGATTTGACCACGGGGATGGAGATTAACCCGACATTAAACAAAATCCAAGTACTCCACCCATATTCACTGCAAAGGATGTTCTTTGAAAATTTACGCCATACCTCTCATCATTTCACATCCCGTAGTTCAATTTTTTAACAGACTGCAACCAAGAAATCTACTCGCTTTCATAGCGATATTTAGCAAATATTATGAAGAAGCTATCCAGTAGGTATATGGCCTACCAGCCTCTCAGAAACTAGGCACTAGATCACCAAACGCTTGATCATTGACAAGTTAATTTAACGAAACCTCACACTAATTTGTCTCTATCATCGCTGTTGTGTTAAAATGCTCTTACATTAGAACCTTCGGGGTGTACGATAGACTTACCTCCACGTGGTGCACTCTGGGCAACGAATACTCATACGGCAAAAAAGTCCATAAACCGACAGTTGACTTCTGACTTCCAACTACCATGACCCCACTGTATGCCATATTCGACCCCTATCACAGTACTCATCTAGCCCTTTCTGAGCTTTTGTGTCTGTCTGTCTCTTTTACATCAGTGAATCGCTCTTCTTTTCCCCTCTCGAAACTCCCTTCTGTGAAGCTCGAAGTCAGCTAAAGGGCTAATGCTAACTACCAAAATGCCTACCATTTGAAAAAAACATTAGAAAATTCTTCTTTTATAGCTTCTGGGAGAAGATAAATGGACTTGAATGACAATATCAATCAACTCAATTCAATAGGCATTGGTTACTTGTGAAACAGCACCAGCCCAGTGGGCCGCCAAACAAGTTGAATTTTAAAAGTGAACTACTCAATAATTATTGCTGCTCAACTCGAATTTTAAACCCATACCGAAGAGAGACTTTATCATTTGCTTTCCCGCAGGGAATAAATTGTTGTTTTGGCTTACATGAGTCTATAATACTCATCATAGATAAAGCTGGAAGCTGAGTGCGGTTTGGAAAAGGTGCAAATGACTATTTTAAAGAGAAAAAAAATTTTCAAATTTTGGGTACATGACTGTTAAATAGGGAGCCGCTGTTATGTCATCCGTTGAATTAGCATGAGCTGTGGCAGAAAACTGCGCGATCTAACACCTAATTGCTCTCTCACTGATCACTTAAGGCTTTCTATCCACCTCCACACTTCCACTAACAAACAAGGCACTTAATCGTAATGGAATCAGAGGAAAGTCAGTACAGATGAAAGAGGTGCCTTTTTTTCTGAAACGAAAGAACATGAAGCCTTGTGCTCTCTTTTTTTTTAAACAAAAAGTAGAGTCGACAATCTCACTTTACCTGCCTGTCGGCGACAGAACTTTTTGAAGCGAAAACGTTTGCTCTGTTTCTCCTCACACGGCGGGCAATACTCATCTGAAGGGCAGAAAAAAAGTTGGGGAGATATTAACAAAATAAGTACTGGGAAGAATTTATTCGAATGATTTATATGAGGCCGACAAAGTGATCGTCTTAGGCAAACACTCATGCTCATCGACGGAATGATGACCTTCAAATACATACAGTGTTTTAACGTTAGCGTACACTCACACACACACTCACGCACATCGTTTTATCCCATTTATTTAGTTCAGTCGAGTTTAATTTTTTCTTTAAATAAAACATTCATTTATTTTGGTAATAAATAAATGTTAAAAAAATTGCAAAATATTTGGAACTGGCTTGAAATCTACTGATAACTAGTAAATCTATGTACTTTCTCCCAGCGTGCGTGTCAAGCATAGTTTTTTTATTTATATCTCGAAAAAGAAACACCTTAATTATATTTGCAAAAAGCTTTACACAAATACAATTGTCCTGTTTTTTTTTCCAGAGAGAATTACAGAACTGCCAAACAATTTTTAAATTATTTGCATCAATATCGACGGGAGACTCATAAATCCATGTTAGTTTAGCCAAGTCTGTTTGAAAAAATTTAGGAAAAATTAGCATTATTATCAGAAACACAGTAAAAATAAGTTTCATAAAATTTTGGTGTTATTTTATCATGATATGCCTAAGCCTATTTCATGTAAATGCTGAAGTTAATTGGGCAAACGCAATAAAAATTGTTTAACTGCAAACAATCGATGATGGTGATTATGATGATGATGATGATACTCACTCCATTTTCCTATTTCTTTCTCATTCACAGTTTTCTTATTACATTAAAATCTCGACTTGACTCCATTTGGAGTTATCGGGGCCAAATTTCATACTTCTGATGTTTTCTCTGAGTGAATCAGTCAAAGTGGTCATCAATGTGCTTAGTTCCTTTGGCGGCGTAAATAGAGAAGTGTTATCTCTGCCTGTTGTCTGTCTGCAAAAAAATGGTGAACTCGTTATGAAACCCAAGCAAAGTCGATCTTTTCGCATAATTTTCTGGATTTGCAAGTAGGTGTGAAAATTGGGGAGGACAGAAGGGGAGAATGGGTGGTGGGGGGGGGGGGGGGGGGGGGGG